ATACAAAAATGTAATTACGAATTTCGAGCTCATGAATAACAGAGCAAAGTCATATTTATTAATGAGAAACTAAATTCTAGATGATACACGAGTTTGTAGGGGTGAAAATACTGATCTATATGTTATCTATACTAGTATAGAGATCAGTGAGCGATCTGTAGAGAATGGTGTAAATCACTCAACTTCCATGATTTGTTTCCATTTATAAATATGTTGTGATACCATTTATAAATAAGTCATATAATCTCTAAATGTTTGCAGGTTAGGTGGATTGGATAAGCCAAATTACCATTTGAGTGCTTTTTTAAAGACTTTCCCACAGATCATGTCACTCCCGGTTTAAAAGCTTCTGGTCTAACACAATTTTACATCATTCTGTTCCTGAGATCAACAAACACAAGATCTTGATGACTAACTACCAATCTCACTAACCTCTCTGGTGTGTGAATGCTTTGAAAGGCTTGATAAAAGTGATTCTCAACAATTATTCAATCATTTTCAGTTCACTTATTAGTCCAATACGATAGTATGATGCAATTCTAACATTGTTGCATCTTGTTTACTCACATCTTGAGGTTTACAAAATTTGATCAATATTACAATATTAATATTAAAATTTTACAATATTTAATATCATGTGAAAATGTAAGAGAAAATAAGAGACTCTGAAACATCTCACTGTTACTGATTTATCATGCGGCTCAAAGTATTATGGGTAAAATCTCTCAGTCTATTCTGAAACATCAACACAGTTTCACTGATGATCCAGACCAAACATTAAACCCAGGATAGAGCGGCTGAGTGAATGTGGTCTGGACTGTGTGGATGAGGCTCATTGTGTCAGAGACGCTGTAGAAGGACAGAGTTCCTGCACTGTGATCCACATACACTCCTACTCTTCCGCTGATGGACTTTACAGGGAGAACAGACTCTATGTTATTGTGTCTGAATGAGTTTCTGGAGGAAGAGCAGAACAAACTCCAGGACTGATCATTATATCCAAACAGACACTTATGACCCCCTCCCTTCCTGCTGATGCTCTTATATGACACTGATATAAACACACCATCTCCACTCCACTCAATCTCCCAGTAACAGCGTCCACACACACTCTCTCTACACAACACCTGATACCACCGATCAAATCTGTCTGGATGATCAGGATACGACTGAAGCTCTGTGTCAGTGCGAGTAATAACTCTGTTCCTCTCAGACAGACTGATGTATTTATTCACTGTGTTCAGATCCAGAGAGAGCTGATGAGAATCTGATGGAGAGAAACACATCAGAATCAGGAATTATGAATCTGTCTGATCTTTTAATGTCTCTGAACTCTTCATGACTCAATGTTCAATGTATCATCAGTGTTTCATTACAGCTGATCAGATATCCTGTGCAAATCCTCATTTAATTATTAAACTCTTTTATCATGATTTATTTCTCCTTCTACAGGAAGAACATGAACACATTCAGTGAGTTTTTCTGCTTGTTTCTTCGTGACTTACATTGTAGGAAGTCGTTCCTGGTCTTGGGATTCATGTTGGTGAATGTGACTGTGGAAATAAACAGAAGAGAAATGATGGATCCATTTCTAATCTGATATTAGATGACGGAGAACTCATTTCTGAGAACAGATTCATCTCCAGATTGTTCATTTATAAAACACTCGTATCAGATTCAATCCTAAATTTCAATTCTACATTAAATATGTATAATTTTACTTCTAAACCATCAGGGGATGTTTGTGGCTGTTCTGTAGAGTTGATGCACTTGAATTAAAGATGAACTGTGATTTATAAAGTGGGATTCATTTAGGAAAATGATTTGTGCGTATGGATGTTTTATAAATCATAGGAACATTTCAGAAACTGTTGCATGTTCAGATTTGGGATCATTCTCCACACGTCTTTATAAAGGAGGAGCAGGACTTTACCTCCGTCTGAGATCTTCTTGATCTCCTCTTTCCAGAAATCCTCCAGTTTGTCTCTCAGCTGACGGACAGATTCTCTCACGCCATCAAAAGAGGAGAGAGAACCGAAGGAAACGTCGAGTTCATCTGTAGATTCAGGAGGAGCTGAGAGAGACTGGAAACTCTACAGAAAACAGAAATCAAAACTCATCATCTCCACTTCAGCCAATCACCTTCACTATATCAGATCTGTCGGCAATTGTAGACTCGACTTCTCTTCAGTGACTCGCTTCAGTCCAGCACTTTCACACAATCAGAAACTTTCTTCTCATGTTCATTATAACGTTAATCTTACAAACTCCAGTATTTGTCACTTACACTCCTTGTGAAAAAGAAAGTTCACTTTTAAAAAGAGTACCGTTCTTATAACAGATATAATATACTTTAAATATATAGACCATTTCAAAAGATGTAAACAACACTGGTCCAGAAGCACTTCCTGTTTCAGTTTGTAACGGTTTTCTTTATTTCACATGTAAAGAAAACATCTTAAAGATGTTTGTTGAACTTTTTGATTCAGTTTTAAATGTTCTGTTGGTTGTATTTTATCCCAGCTTTTATGTAGCGTTAAAAAACTGAAACAGGAAGTGCTTCTGGACCAGTGTTGTTTACATCTTGTGAAATGGTCCATAAGTGCAAATATTTTCAAAAACTTGATTGCATATGAATTATAAATGCAAATATCTGAACTTTAGCGTGTTTTTGTCGCTCTGCTTAAGTTGGTCTCATTCTGCTCTCCTGAAATGTTTCTCTGTGAGTCTCTTGCTCAAGTCCACTATGATCCAGTTCTCCTAGATCTCTGTTACCTGCAGGAACTGGATGTGATCTTGTGTGTGTGAAAGCTGCTCCAGCTCAGCGTCTCTCTTCTTCAGATCATTGATCTCCTGCTCCAGTCGCTCCAGTCGTTCTTCAGCTCGACTCACTGCAGTCTTTTCCTGATCTCTGATCCGCTGTGTCGCCTCAGAGCGTCTTCTCTCAATGGAGCGGATGATATCAGTGAAGATCTTCTCACTGTCCTCCACTGCTGTGTGTGCAGAGCGCTGTTACACACACACACACACACACACACACACACACACACACACACACACACAATCACACAGTGAGTTCAGTGAGTCCAAACTGAGACGTGTCACACTTCTCTTCTTCTCCAGACTCACCTTATGAGACTCCACATCCTCTCTCAGCTGATGAAGATCTTTCTGTCTCTGCTGGATTCTCTGACGGATCTTCATCTGCGTCTCCTTCAGCTGTTTCTGGAGGACACACCAATAATGACATCAAACTACTACCACAAAAGAAAGTTAAAGTCACATAAATCCAGAATTGATGGAGTGGTTAAAGATCTGAAGTACACTACAGGTGTGCATTCAATACCATTAAGCACACTACTTTTTTAAACCAATGGAGTTGATTAAATTACTTTTAACTTTGTCTCCTTTTTAGAGCTTGACACTTTTGTACTTTCAATGTTTAGGCTTAAATAGATGAGACATTCTTCAAAATATCTTCTTCAAACCGGTTTTGGACAACATGAGTAAATGAGTGAGTAAATGAAGACAGCACTTTCATTTCTGCGTGATCAATCTCTCTCAGCTCATACCTGTTTCTCTGTCCTCTGCGCTGCAGTTGATACAGTGTTGTGGTTTTTATGTTCATACTCCTTACACCACACACAGAGTAATTCTTGATCAGTGATACAGAATATTTCTAGCTCTTTATCATGTTTGCGGCAGATCATGTCCTGCAGTCGTCCAGTGGCATCAATCACTTTATGTGGTTTACGAGAGTGATATTCCTCATGACGGTCTAAATGAGTTTGACAGTAAGACTCCTGACACACCAGACAGGACTTGATGGCTTTGTGTTTTCTTCCAGTACAGACGTCACACTCCACGTCTCCAGCTCCAGCGTAACAGTCCGCAGGAAGTTTAGTCTTCTTCAGTTTCTCCACCACTTCAGCTAGCATGGTGTTTTTAGCTAAAGCAGGTCTTGGACTGAAGGTCTGTCTGCACTGAGGGCAGCTGTAGACTCTCTTCTCATCCTCCTGATCCCAGCAGCCAGAAATACAGATCTTACAGTAACTGTGTCCGCAGGGAATGGCCACTGGATCCTTCAGGAGATCCAGACACACTGGACACACAAACTCATCTTGAGAAAATCTGGCTTCTGCCATTTTACAGCGTGAATACAGAGAGACACAAACACACAACAGCTCAACAACACTTCAGTTTCTGTTTCTCTGAACTGAGGAGTTGAAGTAGTTTCCTGATTCTGTGTGTGAGTGACGTGTGTAAAACAGGCGTGTGTGTAATGCAGCTTACTTCCTCATTCATGCTCAACTTCATGTGGAGTCATACAAAAATGTAATTACGAATTTCGAGCTCATGAATAACAGAGCAAAGTCATATTTATTAATGAGAAACTAAATTCTAGATGATACACGAGTTTGTAGGGGTGAAAATACTGATCTATATGTTATCTATACTAGTATAGAGATCAGTGAGCGATCTGTAGAGAATGGTGTAAATCACTCAACTTCCATGATTTGTTTCCATTTATAAATATGTTGTGATACCATTTATAAATAAGTCATATAATCTCTAAATGTTTGCAGGTTAGGTGGATTGGATAAGCCAAATTACCATTTGAGTGCTTTTTTAAAGACTTTCCCACAGATCATGTCACTCCCGGTTTAAAAGCTTCTGGTCTAACACAATTTTACATCATTCTGTTCCTGAGATCAACAAACACAAGATCTTGATGACTAACTACTAATCTCACTAACCTCTCTGGTGTGTGAATGCTTTGAAAGGCTTGATAAAAGTGATTCTCAACAATTATTCAATCATTTTCAGTTCACTTATTAGTCCAATAAGATAGTATGATGCAATTCTAACATTGTTGCATCTTGTTTACTCACATCTTGAGGTTTACAAAATTTGATCAATATTACAATATTAATATTAAAATTTTACAATATTTAATATCATGTGAAAATGTAAGAGAAAATAAGAGACTCTGAAACATCTCACTGTTACTGATTTATCATGCGGCTCAAAGTATTATGGGTAAAATCTCTCAGTCTATTCTGAAACATCAACACAGTTTCACTGATGATCCAGACCAAACATTAAACCCAGGATAGAGCGGCTGAGTGAATGTGGTCTGGACTGTGTGGATGAGGCTCATTGTGTCAGAGACGCTGTAGAAGGACAGAGTTCCTGCACTGTGATCCACATACACTCCTACTCTTCTGCTGATGGACTTTACAGGAAGAACAGACTCTATGTTATTGTGTCTGAATGAGTATCTGGAGGAAGAGCAGAACAAACTCCAGGACTGATCATTATATCCAAACAGACACTTATGACCCCCTCCCTTCCTGCTGATGCTCTTATATGACACTGATATAAACACACCATCTCCACTCCACTCAATCTCCCAGTAACAGCGTCCACACACACTCTCTCTACACAACACCTGATACCACCGATCAAATCTGTCTGGATGATCAGGATACGACTGAAGCTCTGTGTCAGTGCGAGTAATAACTCTGTTCCTCTCAGACAGACTGATGTATTTATTCACTGTGTTCAGATCCAGAGAGAGCTGATGAGAATCTGATGGAGAGAAACACATCAGAATCAGGAATTATGAATCTGTCTGATCTTTTAATGTCTCTGAACTCTTCATGACTCAATGTTCAATGTATCATCAGTGTTTCATTACAGCTGATCAGATATCCTGTGCAAATCCTCATTTAATTATTAAACTCTTTTATCATGATTTATTTCTCCTTCTACAGGAAGAACATGAACACATTCAGTGAGTTTTTCTGCTTGTTTCTTAGTGACTTACATTGTAGGAAGTCGTTCCTGGTCTTGGGATTCATGTTGGTGAATGTGACTGTGGAAATAAACAGAAGAGAAATGATGGATCCATTTCTAATCTGATATTAGATGACGGAGAACTCATTTCTGAGAACAGATTCATCTCCAGATTGTTCATTTATAAAACACTCGTATCAGATTCAATCCTAAATTTCAATTCTACATTAAATATGTATAATTTTACTTCTAAACCATCAGGGGATGTTTGTGGCTGTTCTGTAGAGTTGATGCACTTGAATTAAAGATGAACTGTGATTTATAAAGTGGGATTCATTTAGGAAAATGATTTGTGCGTATGGATGTTTTATAAATCATAGGAACATTTCAGAAACTGTTGCATGTTCAGATTTGGGATCATTCTCCACACGTCTTTATAAAGGAGGAGCAGGACTTTACCTCCGTCTGAGATCTTCTTGATCTCCTCTTTCCAGAAATCCTCCAGTTTGTCTCTCAGCTGACGGACAGATTCTCTCACGCCATCAAAAGAGGAGAGAGAACCGAAGGAAACGTCGAGTTCGTCTGTAGATTCAGGAGGAGCTGAGAGAGACTGGAAACTCTACAGAAAACAGAAATCAAAACTCATCATCTCCACACTTCAGCCAATCACCTTCACTATATCAGATCTGTCGGCAATTGTAGACTCGACTTCTCTTCAGTGACTCGCTTCAGTCCAGCACTTTCACACAATCAGAAACTTTCTTCTCATGTTCATTATAACGTTAATCTTACAAACTCCAGTATTTGTCACTTACACTCCTTGTGAAAAAGAAAGTTCACTTTTAAAAAGAGTACCGTTCTTATAACAGATATAATATACTTTAAATATATAGACCATTTCAAAAGATGTAAACAACACTGGTCCAGAAGCACTTCCTGTTTCAGTTTGTAACGGTTTTCTTTATTTCACATGTAAAGAAAACATCTTAAAGATGTTTGTTGAACTTTTTGATTCAGTTTTAAATGTTCTGTTGGTTGTATTTTATCCCAGCTTTTATGTAGCGTTAAAAAACTGAAACAGGAAGTGCTTCTGGACCAGTGTTGTTTACATCTTGTGAAATGGTCCATAAGTGCAAATATTTTCAAAAACTTGATTGCATATGAATTATAAATGCAAATATCTGAACTTTAGCGTGTTTTTGTCGCTCTGCTTAAGTTGGTCTCATTCTGCTCTCCTGAAATGTTTCTCTGTGAGTCTCTTGCTCAAGTCCACTATGATCCAGTTCTTCTAGATCTCTGTTACCTGCAGGAACTGGATGTGATCTTGTGTGTGTGAAAGCTGCTCCAGCTCAGCGTCTCTCTTCTTCAGATCATTGATCTCCTGCTCCAGTCGCTCCAGTCGTTCTTCAGCTCGACTCACTGCAGTCTTTTCCTGATCTCTGATCCGCTGTGTCGCCTCAGAGCGGCTTCTCTCAATGGAGCGGATGATCTCAGTGAAGATCTTCTCACTGTCCTCCACTGCTGTGTGTGCAAAGCGCTGTTACACACACACACACACACACACACACACACACACACACACACAATCACACAGTGAGTTCAGTGAGTCCAAACTGAGACGTGTCACACTTCTCTTCTTCTCCAGACTCACCTTATGAGACTCCACATCCTCTCTCAGCTGATGAAGATCTTTCTGTCTCTGCTGGATTCTCTGACGGATCTTCATCTGCGTCTCCTTCAGCTGTTTCTGGAGGACACACCAATAATGACATCAAACTACTACCACAAAAGAAAGTTAAAGTCACATAAATCCAGAATTGATGGAGTGGTTAAAGATCTGAAGTACACTACAGGTGCGCATTCAATACCATTAAGCGCACTACTTTTTTAAACCAATGGAGTTGATTAAATTACTTTTAACTTTGTCTCCTTTTTTAGAGCTTGACACTTTTGTACTTTCAATGTTTAGGCTTAGATGAGACATTCTTCAAAATATTTTCTTCAAACCGGATTTGGACAACATGAGTAAATGAAGACAGCACTTTCATTTGTGTGATCAATCTCTCTCAGCTCATACCTGTTTCTCTGTCCTCTGCGCTGCAGTTGATTCAGTGTTGTGGTTTTTATGTTCTTACTCCTTACACCACACACAGAGTAATTCTTGATCAGTGATACAGAATATTTCTAGCTCTTTATCATGTTTGCGGCAGATCATGTCCTGCAGTCGTCCAGTGGCATCAATCACTTTGTGTGGTTTACGAGAGTGATATTCCTCATGACGGTCTAAATGAGTTTGACAGTAAGACTCCTGACACACCAGACAGGACTTGACGGCTTTGTGTTTTCTTCCAGTACAGACGTCACACTCCACGTCTCCAGCTCCAGCGTAACAGTCCGCAGGAAGTTTAGTCTTCTTCAGTTTCTCCACCACTTCAGCTAGCATGGTGTTTTTAGCTAAAGCAGGTCTTGGACTGAAGGTCTGTCTGCACTGAGGGCAGCTGTAGACTCTCTTCTCATCCTCCTGATCCCAGCAGCCAGAAATACAGATCTTACAGTAATTGTGTCCGCAGAGGATAGTCACTGGATCCTTCAGGAGATCCAGACACACTGGACACGTGAACTCATCCTGAGAAAATCTGGCTTCAGCCATTTTACAGCGTGAATACAGAGAGACACAAACACACAACAGCTCAACAACACTTCAGTTTCTGTTTCTCTGAACTGAGGAGTTGAAGTAGTTTCCTGATTCTGTGTGTGAGTGACGTGTGTAAAACAGGCGTGTGTGTAATGCAGCTTACTTCCTCATTCATGCTCAACTTCATGTAGTCATAAAAAATTGTAATTACAAATTTCGAGCTCATGAATAACAGAGCAAAGTCATATTTATTCATGAGAAACTAAATTCTAGATGATACACGAGTTTGTAGGGGTGAAAATACTGATCTATGTGTTATCTATACTAGTATAGAGATCAGTGAGCGCTCTGTAGAGAATGGTGTAAATCACTCAACTTACATGATTTGTTTCCATTTATAAATATGTTGTGATACCATTTATAAATAAGTCATATAATCTCTAAATGTTTGCAGGTTAGGTGGATTGGATATGGCAAATTATCATTTGAGTGTTTTTTTTAAAGACTTTCCCACAGATCATGTCACTCCCGGTTTGAAAGCCTCTGGTCTAACACAATTTTACATCATTCTGTTCCTGAGATCAACAAACACAAGATCTTGATGACTAACTACCAATCTCACTAACATCTCTGGTGTGTAAATGCTTTGAAAGGCTTGATAAAGGTGTGTAATGATTCTCCACAATTATTCAATCCTTTTCAATTCATTTATCAGTCCAATAAGATAGTAGATGCAATTCTAACATTGTTGCATCTTGTTTCACATTTTGAGGTTTACAAAAATCATGTGAAAATGTAAGAGAAAATAAGAGACTCTGAAACATCTCGCTGTTACTGATTTATCATGCAGCTCAAAGTATTCTGGGTAAAATCTCTCAGTCTATTCTGAAACATCAACACAGTTTCACTGATGATCTAAAATAAACATTAAACCCAGGATAGAGCGGCTGAGTGAATGTGGTCTGGACTGTGTGGATGAGGCTCATTGTGTCAGAGACGCTGTAGAAGGACAGAGTTCCTGCACTGTGATCCACATACACTCCTACTCTTCTGCTGATGGACTTTACAGGGAGAACAGACTCTATGTTATTGTGTCTGAATGAGTTTCTGGAGGAAGAGCAGAGCAATCTCCAGGACTGATCATTATATCCAAACACACACTCATCACCCGATCCCTTCCTGCTGATGCTCTTATATGACACTGATATAAACACACCATCCCCACTCCACTCAATCTCCCAGTAACAGCGTCCACACACACTCTCTCTACACAACACCTGAAACCACCGATCAAATCTGTCTGGATGATCAGGATACGGCTGGACTCTGCCAGTGTTAGTAATAACTCTGTTCCTCTCAGACAGAAGGAGTTGTCTATTCACTGTGTTCAGATCCAGAGAGAGCTGATGAGAATCTGATGGAGAGAAACACATCAGAAACAGGAATTATGAATCTGTCTGATCTTTTAATGTCTCTGAACTCTTCATGACTCAATGTTCAATGTATCATCAGTAATTTCAATACAGCTGATCAGATATCCATTGCAAATCATCATTTAATTATTAAACTCTTTTATCATGATTTATTTCTCCTTCTACAGGAAGAACACGAACACATTCAGTGAGTTTTTCTGCTTGTTTCTTAGTGACTCACATTGTAGGAAGTCGTTCCTGGTCTTGGGATTCATGTTGGTGAATGTGACTGTGGAAATAAACAGAAGAGAAATGATGGATCCATTTCTAATCTGATATTAGATGATGGAGAACTCATTTCTGAGAACAGATTCATCTCCAGATTCCTCATTTATAAAACACTCGTATCAGATTCAATCCTAAATTTCAATTCTACATGAAATATGTATATATTACTTCTAAACCATCAAGGGATGTTTGTGGCTGTTCTGTAGAGTTGATGCACTTGAATTAAAGATGAACTGTGATTTATAAAGTGGGATTCATTTAGGAAAATTATTTGTGCGTCTGGATGTTTTATAAATCATAGGAATATTTCAGAAACTGTTGCATGTTCAGATTTGGGATCATTCTCCACACGTCTTTATAAAGGAGGAGCAGGACTTTACCTCCGTCTGAGATCTTCTTGATCTCCTCTTTGCAGAAATCCTCCAGTTTGTCTCTCAGCTGACGGACAGATTCTCTCACGCCATCAAAAGAGGAGAGAGAACCGAAGGAAACGTCGAGTTCGTCTGTAGATTCAGGAGGAGCTGAGAGAGACTGGAAACTCTACAGAAAACAGAAATCAAAACTCATCATCTCCACACTTCAGCCAATCACCTTCACTATATCAGATCTGTCGGCTCTTGTAGACTCGACTTCTCTTCAGTGACTCGCTTCAGTCCAGCACTTTCACACAATCAGAAACTTTCTTCTCATGTTCATTATAACATTGAACTCCAGTATTTGTCACTTACACTCCTTGTGAAAAAGAAATTTCACTTTTAAAAAGAGTACTGTACTTATAATATACTTTAAATATATAAGCGCAAATATTTTCAGAAACTTGATTGCATGTTATTTGCAAATATATGAATGAGGAATAGTTTAATGTTTGTATTAAATGCAAATATCTGAACTTTAGAGTGTTTTTGTTGCTCTGCTTAAGTTGGTCTCATTCTGCTCTCCTGAAATGTTTCTCTGTGAGTCTCTTGCTCAAGTCCACTATGATCCAGTTCTTCTAGATCTCTGTTACCTGTAGGAACTGGATGTGATCTTGTGTGTGTGAAAGCTGCTCCAGCTCAGCGTCTCTCTTCTTCAGATCATTGATCTCCTGCTCCAGTCGCTCCAGTCGTTCTTCAGCTCGACTCACTGCAGTCTTTTCCTGATCTCTGATCCGCTGTGTCGCCTCAGAGCGGCTTCTCTCAATGGAGCGGATGATCTCAGTGAAGATCTTCTCACTGTCCTCCACTGCTGTGTGTGCAGAGCGCTGTTACACACACACACACACACACACACACACACACAATCACACAGTGAGTTCAGTGAGTCCAAACTGAGACGTGTCACACTTCTCTTCTTCTCCAGACTCACCTTATGAGACTCCACATCCTCTCTCAGCTGATGAAGATCTTTCTGTCTCTGCTGGATTCTCTGACGGATCTTCATCTGCGTCTCCTTCAGCTGTTTCTGGAGGACACACCAATAATGACATCAAACTACTATCACAAAAGAAATTTAAAGTCGCATAAATCCAGAATTGATGGAGTGGTTAAAGATCTGAAGTACACTACAGGTGCGCATTCAATACCATTAAGCACACTACTTTTTAAACCAATGGAGTTGATTAAATTACTTTTAACTTTGTCTCCTTTTTAGAGCTTGACACTTTTGTACTTTCAATGTTTAGGCTTAGATGAGACATTCTTCAAAATATTTTCTTCAAACCGGATTTGGACAACATGAGTAAATGAAGACAGCACTTTCATTTCTGTGTGATCAATCTCTCTCAGCTCATACCTGTTTCTCTGTCCTCTGCGCTGCAGTTGATTCAGTGTTGTGGTTTTTATGTTCATACTCCTTACACCACACACAGAGTAATTCTTGATCAGTGATACAGAATATTTCTAGCTCTTTATCATGTTTGCGGCGCAGATCATGTCCTGCAGTCGTCCAGTGGCATCAATCACTTTGTGTGGTTTACGAGAGTGATATTCCTCATGACGGTCTAAATGAGTTTGACAGTAAGACTCCTGACACACCAGACAGGACTTGACGGCTTTGTGTTTTCTTCCAGTACAGACGTCACACTCCACGTCTCCAGCTCCAGCGTAACAGTCCGCAGGAAGTTTAGTCTTCTTCAGTTTCTCCACCACTTCAGCTAGCATGGTGTTTTTAGCTAAAGCAGGTCTTGGACTGAAGGTCTGTCTGCACTGAGGGCAACTGTAGACTCTCTTCTCATCCTCCTGATCCCAGCAGTCAGAAATACAGATCTTACAGTAACTGTGTCCGCAGGGAATGGCCACTGGATCCTTCAGGAGATCCAGACACACTGGACACGTGAACTCATCCTGAGAAAATCTGGCTTCAGCCATTTTACAGCGTGAATACAGAGAGACACAAACACACAACAGCTCAACAACACTTCAGTTTCTGTTTCTCTGAACTGAGGAGTTGAAGTAGTTTCCTGATTCTGTGTGTGAGTGACGTGTGTAAAACAGGCGTGTGTGTAATGCAGCTTACTTCCTCATTCATGCTCAACTTCATGTGGAGTCATAAAAAATTGTAATTACGAATTTCGAGCTCATGAATAACAGAGCAAAGTCATATTTATTAATGAGAAACTAAATTCTAGATGATACACGAGTTTGTAGGGGTGAAAATACTGATCTATGTGTTATCTATACTAGTATAGAGATCAGTGAGCGATCTGTAGAGAATGGTGTAAATCACTCAACTTCCATGATTTGTTTCCATTTATAAATATGTTGTGATACCATTTATAAATAAGTCATATAATCTCTAAATGTTTGCAGGTTAGGTGGATTGGATATGGCAAATTACCATTTGAGTGTTTTTTTTAAAGACTTTCCCACAGATCATGTCACTCCCGGTTTGAAAGCCTCTGGTCAAACACAATTTTACATCATTCTGTTCCTGAGATCAACAAACACAAGATCTTGATGACTAACTACCAATCTCACTAACATCTCTGGTGTGTAAATGCTTTGAAAGGCTTGATAAAGGTGTGTAATGATTCTCAACAATTATTCAATCCTTTTCAATTCACTTATTAGTCCAATAATATAGTAGATGATGCAATTCTAACATTGTTGCATCTTGTTTACTCACATCTTGAGGTTTACAAAAATCATGTGAAAATGTAAGAGAAAATAAGAGACTCTGAAACATCTCGCTGTTACTGATTTATCATGCGGCTCAAAGTATTATGGGTAAAATCTCTCAGTCTATTCTGAAACATCAACACA